TGCTTTACCTGGACTGAGACAACAAACTGTAATCTACAACAAATTGTAACTCGGTATCTTTGCTAATGGTGTCATTGCTGGTATAATTTTTCCAAGGGCTTCTTGCATGGAGCCATCAATTGGCTTGGTATTGTGGCATTTTGTATCCTCCCCTTCTGCTTGTAGCAGATTATTTATGGTGTTTGTGTAAAAACCACTATGGTTGTTATTTATATTAAACCAAAGGGGGAAATGTTAGAGTCTGTAAACAAGTCAGGATGGCGCCTGGCATTTTGCCAGAGGGAGATTTCTTATTGGTTGACTGATGTATMTAGTTTATGCTAATTAAGATAAGCTGCGTGGAATGTATAAATACCGCTCCTGTCCTACAATAAACGGCTTCCACTCCTGCTGTATCAATCTACACAAGTTGCTCGTCACCCCAGGGTTATTTTGCTGCAGCTGGACTGTGGCATATCATGTCTTCCTGAGTTGATAAGGCCTTGCTAAATTACTGAGGCTGGCTTTGAACTTGTGATCCTCCTGCCTCAGGCTCCTGTGCCACTGGGATTACAGGCATGTGCCACCGTGCCTGGCATCTTCTTATTAAAAGTTCAATTTATAATTCTAATTTACTRTTGAAGTCTCATTTTAATATCTAACTTCTCATTAAAGCAATTAGAAGTGTTTCACCTGCATTTCCCCCTAAATATTATACTTTTAATATGCCCAAACCTTATTCAAAAATGCTTTAAAAAGTTCCTTTTGAAACAAAAATTAACTCATARTATTATTTTTCCTAATTCAAAATCTTTTTACTGATATTCAATTTCAGGTAGCTTAAAAGTTTTTATTCCCTTAGGTCCATGACTTATCAAAGATTTTTTAAAGAGTCTAGTTTTAGACAAACAGAAGTTGAACATAGTCTCCGAATTCACACTAGTCCACACCATGTTACAATCGGTCTGTCTTCTAGAGAATTAACTTCTCAATTCATGAAAATGTGTGCATAGAAATTTAAAAATTCCAAAAATATCTGGAATGATTTTCAAGATTCTGATATCAGAATTCTGTCTATATGTACCTATAATTCTGCCTTTAAACTCAACATTTTTAAAGCAATTTCCCTATTGCCAAGCCCATTTCAAAGATTTACTACTTTGGAAGATAACAAATAAAGCAATCTTTGATAAAATCCTTAACGTTMTCAGTCTTACAATACTCAATTGATAAAGCAAGATTACCACAAATACACATAAARCCTATCTACCAGGCTATCTGTGTTCCCATTTTAATCTGAAATGAAAAATCATTCTTGTCTTTCACTAATGTCTTATAGTTTGGACTCATGAAGTATTTTCATTTGTTTATTAAGATTGATRACTTTTATTCCTTTTTGGACCTTGAATCTCACAGAAATGAAGAGATTGCAGATGTTAGTAGATCAGGCATTTATTCTTCACTTTCTCTTAGTGTTCATAGACAAAGTTTGTAATATCTAAAATCTGAAGGTCAGCTTCCTCTTGCCATGAAGGATCTGAATGTCCTCATGAAAACTATTCTCTGAATAGCCTTGTATATTCAACTCAAAAAATGTGTGCTTGTGAAAGGAGACTTATCCACACCATAAAATCAGAAAATAACGTGTACAGGAAGGCACAAAGAACACATAATGATGCATGAATTGTTTCATTTTTTTTTTTTTGGTTAAGATTTTATTCGAAGTTTTGGGTATTTAAGACTTGGAGAAAAATGCTGATTTCACTTAAGAAATAAAGAAGAGGTGTCATGCTTTGGCTATGAGGTATCACCCCAAAGGTCATGTATGAGACAGTGCAAGGATTTTCAGAGGTCAAATGATTAGATTATGAGAGATATGACCTAATCAGTGGATAAAAACTGGGCAGTAACTGTAGGCAGGTAGGTTATAACTAGAGGGAGTAAGTCACTGGAGGTATGCCTCTGGGGTTTATATTTTGTCCTGTGTGAGCAGAGTGCCCGCCCCCTCTTCTTCCCGGTTGCCATGTTCTGAGCTGCTTTCTTTCACCCTGCCCTTCTGCCATGATGTTCTGCCTTACTTTGGGCCCAGAGTTATGGAGTCGGCCAGCCATGAACTGAAACTTTAAAACCATCAACCAAAATAAACTTTACTCTCTGTAGGTTGTTCTTGTCAGTCTTTTGTTCACAGTGATGAAAAGATTGCTAAAATAGAAAGTTTACAATTTTAATGCTATGAGACATTAATAAAGAAAAAACACATAAATACTAGTAATTTTGCTTTCTACTTTGTGTTTCATTGTTATCCCATACACTTTTTTTTCTGGAAAACTGTGTGTTTATGCATTTCCAGGTCCAATAGTATCATATTGATAGGAGAGAGGAAATGGTGTCTCAAGCTGTCACATGTAGACTATAAAGCTTTATAGAATTATGTGTTAAAGTCTACTTACAACCACATTTGCTGGTTCTGATGTTAGACTCTCAGATATAGTTGCTAAATATGTGTTAAATGTCTTTTCACTTTTATTAGCAATCTCATTGGTTAATTTGTATGAAACATTCAAACATAGCATTGACTGAGGTTATTTCCATGATATCATACACAAATAATCTCTTTTTTATTTTTCAAAATAATTGAGAGAAACTTTGTTTTTTTGGTACTAAGAATTGAACTTGGGGTGCCTAACCACTGAGTCACATTCTCACCCCACTCCCTTTTTTCATATTTTATTTTGAGACAGGGTCTCACACAGTTGTTTAGGTTAGGGCCTTGCTAAATTGCCGAGGCTGGCTTTGAATTTGAACTCACAAATTTCCTGTCTCAGCCTCGCAAACCTCTGGGAAAATAGGTGTGAACCACTGCACCCAGTTTATAATGTTTTATGTATAGCACTTATAAAAACATGAATAAAAGTTAATACTTATATGAAGAATAATCTGTAGGTAAAACCCCATTTGATCATATATGTGTGTGTGTGTGTATACACGCTATAGGAAAGGAATAATAACATATAGCTAAACGGCTACTATTTTCAATAAAAGATTACTATGACAATGGAAATAGACAAGGAATAGAAAACAAAAATTTGCACAGAGCTTAAAATTTCCAAAATTTATGAAAAATGCCAAATTAGTGGTTTTAAATTATGAAAGCAGCAATTTTGGGCTGGAAATTAATAGTAAATGCTCAATAAATATTTATTGGTTAATGAATAAATTGAAATTTTTATCCATCAAGATGGCAAAACATTGTAAAATAATATAAATCCATGGAATTAATATGATATCCAAAGAAAAGATAATAGCATTCAATAACTCCCAATTTATTAATGTAATTATTGAGTGTGTTGGGGCTGGGATTTCGGCTCAGCGGTAGAGCACTCGCCTAGCACGGGCCAGACCCGAGTTTGATTATCAGCACCACCACATTAAAAAAAAAAAAGGCATTGTGTTGTGTCCATCTACAAAAAAGATTCTCTCTCTCTCTCTCTCTCTCTCTCATTTAAAAAAAAAAACTAGTTCAAAAACTAGTCATTCTCAAATAACTCAAACTGCATTTTAAAAAATTAACAGTAGTGCTAATGTACATGGTAAGTCAGTCTTAAGACAGTCTATAACAGAAAAAATATTTTGAACTCTGTCATTTAAACAAAGAGGATTTAGAATACAAGAAATTTTATATTAATTTATATACACAAATTGGTATTACTTCCAAGTATTGCTCTCTCTGGTGAGAACATTTCCCCCAGTATAAGCACAGATGTATGTAGAAGAGAGCAAACAATAAAGTATCCTGAATAAGGCCCATGAACAGACGATRGGGTTTCTCTTTTCCCATCAATCTTCATTCCAAGGAACAGTAGAAAAATCTGAGGGGGGAAAAATGCTGGTACACTCTTGTCATATTATTGATACTTCTTAATGTYTGGGGTTCTCTCAAAAAATTATTATTTTATTTTCTTCCTCTATAGTTTATCTATGTTGCCCAGAAACCATTGACTTCCTGGAATTTTTATTAAGAATTCCACATTCTTGCCATGTTTTTCAAATACCGTGGCCTCTGCCAATAAATTCTTATAAATTTTCACTTCTTTTCTTTCAATAATATCCTAGAGAATATGATTCAGGCTCAAATTAATCACCGATCATGTTAATGGCTCCTAGGAGTTTACTTCCGATACCCCTTATTATATTAAATCAAACTTGATAGTGTGCTAGATCATTGCTCAGCTGGGTTTTCATAAAAGCACTGGTATTTAATATGATTTATGCCTAGTTTTCTGTTAATAACTTTGCTTATTGTGTGCATTATTTTTAAAACAGACATTCTTAGCAAATGATACTCCTTTAAACTGTATCATACTTTTAAAATATTATATAGGAAACATTTTACAGTAAAATGTATCACTTATTTTGTATTATAGTCACATAATAGTGATCAGGAACAATTTATTTAATTTACAATGAAAAACATTGATATTTTATTTATAGTTGGAAAAGTATGCATACATGTGTATGTTTTGTTTACTTAAAAGATAAATTATATGACAAGATTTTTAGGAAATTTAATGTGTTCTATTTTTTTAAAGCTTTGCAGCAAAGGGGCAGCTCTGGGAAAACCTTTTGAATCATCTGCTGAAGATATAGCAAGCGTGGCAAGTTTCATTGAGACAAAGCTTGTTACCTGCTATCTTCGGATGAGGAAACCTGACCTTGCTCTGAATCATGCACACAGGTAAAATGAAATGCTACTAACCACAAGGAAATACTATCCATGCAAGGACAGGGAACTGTCAGAGCTTGTCTGATCACCTTCTATTTCATTTCAAGTTAAAGATAAAAACCAAAAAATTATATACTGCTCCATTTATGAAAATCTACATAAAACATGGAGACAGCAAAGGGGATCTCAAAACCTAATGGGAGAAATAAATACATAACCAACTTTCATAWTGCAGGGCAAAATAAAAAAGCAGATAACTATAGTATCACATTACCACAGAAAAAAAGGAGAGAGAGATGCAGGTAAGAAAGGGAAGGAATATTGAAGGGTAAAAAATGTTTTTAAAATGTAAGAACAGATGGGGAATGGCAGAAGGATATTCTGACTGTGAAGCATCAGACACGACTTGAAAGTTCGTGGTTTGTTTGGTGATAACACAGCTGATTCAAAGGATGCTGGAAGCCTTTGGACAGCTTTCCAAAGGGGTGAAATACTTTTTATCTATGTTCTTAAAGATTCCCTTTTCATATTTATATCCTTCTTGAGAATTCTGTATCATATTATCATGTAGCTTCCTAGAATTCCCATGATTACCTGGCCTATTTTTTCTTTTATAAAAATGATCCTGTCCTATGTCCTATTTTCTAAGGTCCTGCTCTTATCAGTTTTAATCTGCAGCACATATAAAGTGATTATGTTATGCCTTTCAAATATTCCTTTCCTTAAAATTATGAAGCCTTTATCCCTCCCTGCCCAACTTTGAGCAATTTGCCTAGAACTTTGTGTTGTCCTTTTWCTGATCTCAGGTCCTCGTACTTCTTTTAACAAAATGGCAAAACTATTATCCCTGTGAAAATGTAATATCTGCTTTGTTAATGTTAGGAGATATAATTATCAGTTATATTGAGACCCTTAAGTAAGTAAGAAATATGMTAATATGGTAAAAGTCATTTGAAACTCACATCAACTGGGATATAAATGTTCAACCCAGGATTTTTTACTACCCTAATAGTGGTCTTGATCTGATATCAAAAACCTAAGACAACAAAACCAGTTTGAAATTCAGAAGATAACCTACTTGAAAGAAATTCTCCTGCTTAAGTAAACTACAGAAACTAAAGACATATTCTCTTTGATGCCAAAAGAAAATTCTGCTTTCTATATATCTAGCAACATTTTATGCATCCATAGTTTCCAAATCAATGTCAGGATATCTGGTTTGTCAAAGAATTGTACTTCATTTCCATTTAAAAGAAGCAGTATTAGAAAGGTAACATATATTTCAAAATGTCAAAATATTGTAATATCTGGGCTACTAGGGTRGCTTGGAGCACAATGGGAAAGCTAATCAAAATTAAGACTAGTCCAAAAACTATCTATAGGCATACAGAAACAATAATAAGTTGAGATGCACTGCACTTATACAACACCTTCTCCATGACTTTCATCACACTCAAAAGGAAAGTGTCTCCTGTATATCAGAATATTTTGATGGGTTTTTGAATCACAATTAGTAATAAAAGCCTCAAATGGTATGAATTTTTGATTTTCTCAAATCAAGATTCCATTCAGTTTATTAAAAATGAGTTCTGGGAGGGAAGGATTACTCAAATATAAGATACTGTTTCAGTCAGCTGTTTCAACACTGTGAATGACAGACCCAACCAGAACAATTGTAGAGGAGGAAAAGTTTATTTGAGGGCTTATGATTTTAGAGGTCTTAGTCCATAGAAGATTGACTGCATTCCTCAGGACTCTGGGTGAGGCAGAAGTTCATGGTGGAAGTATGACAGAAAGCAGCTCACCTGATTGATGATCAGAAAGCAGTGAGAGAGAGAGAGAGAGAGAGAGAGAGAGAGAGAGAGAGAGAGATCTCACTTGCCATATACAAAATATAGACCCCAAAGCCACACCCTCAATACACCACTCCTCCAGCCACACCACACCTGCCTTTAGTTACCACTCAATTAATCCCATCAGGTGATTAATTCACTGAATGGTTTAAGACTATGACCACATCATTTCTTCTCTGAACCTTCATGCATTTTCTCATATGTGAGTATTTGGGAGACACTTCACATCCAAACCATAACAGATAAAATTCAAATATAAGAACAATAAGATGCTACTATCTCTAAAAATGCACAGTCAGCTACAATAGGTTCATTGTTTAGAATTAGAAAACTTCTGTCTTAAAACTAATAAGAGTGCTATTCCAAGACCTCTAGAATTATTTAGGAAAAGAAATATAATGATAGATAGTAACATGATCTTCCCTATTATGTTAATATTAACTTTGATATACTTTTTTTCTGCTATAAACTAATCTTTACTTCTATTTCCAAGTTGAACACTAAGTAATAAATGCAAATCAATAGAGGTTAAACAGTCAATTCATACAATTAATAATGCACCAAGAGAAATAAATCATTTTTCTGTACTTGTTATAGTGCAAAACTATAGAAGTCAGTGCGTATGATTTTCATATTAAAGCATTTTCAAATATCCTAGACATAAAAACGGAGTCTGAAGTATAATCAATAAATATATTTCATAATAAATTAATTAATCAGGATATTTAGTCTATAAATAGCTTATAACCATTAGTTATACAAAGAATACAAAATTCTGCTTTTGTATTATAACCACATTGTGATAGTTGATACCAATCATGCATCAAAATTAAAATATTCCTTTTTTGCATTTATTTGCATTTGCTGAAGCATCCTTTCTTTAATTTTATGTAAATGCAAGGTCTACTGCATATTTTTAGGAGACCTGTTAACAAAAAAAATTAGCTTAAAAATAATCATGTATTTTTGCTTGTGATGAGAATAAACATATTGTTTTGTCATGTAGAAGGCTTTAAGAACCATAACTTTATGGTTTTAAGATCAACAAAAACACATTTTGAAATTAATCAGTTAGGTCGCCAGTTAAATAATAAAAATGACRATATGTGATACAAAATCTTTAGAAAAAAATGTTATCAATAACGGGGTTTTTTTCTTATAACAAATCTGAGATGACAAATACAATTATCATTTTTTACTTCAACCAAAGTGCTGCCTGGACCCACCAGTGAAGCACATCAACTCTGCGTTCATTTCATCAAATTAGTGCCACTGTTTATCAGTCGGTGTTTTGAACTTCCCTAAGTCTGATTCCTAATTACAGCTGTCTTATCAAAGATGGAAATCCTGCTATAATTCTTTTTCTATCATGTAATTATATTTTGATGTGCTTAATTATGAAGATTCTAATGATGCATGTCACTTTTTGTATATTCCTTACCTCTAGTTTTTGTTGGAGAATTTTGTTGCCACAAGATGGCAGACAAGATGAAGTCTAGTTCCAAATATGTAGAAAGATTCTATTTTTAATAGTGTAAAAAATGGTGGTATGTGCATTCATTTATTCATTCAAAAAGTTATCTATTAAATCACCACCAAGAGCCCATGAATCTGTTGGACACTGGAAAGACATTTATAATTACACAGAAAATACATGGTATTTATACATCAGCCACAGTAGAAAACAAAATGTAAAAAAAAATATTAAATAATATTAAATGTTTGAGATAGAGATACATACTCTGATAGAAATAAACATAATTTCATGATGCAGCAACAACACAGTATGTTGAATCAGAACACAGAGTATAGATTCAGACTTAGGCTCAAATTCTGACTCTGCTACTCACTAGTTATTCTGAATTTAATTTTCCATAAGATTAGGCTTATAATAAAAGTACCTACTCCATAAACATCATCTCACAAGATTTTGTGGAAATTAAATATAAATCCATGGATTTTTAAATTCCAGATATGACTTCTTTACTAGTACTGGACCATTATTCTAACTATAAACAACTATAAAACTGGACAAAATATAGGAAGCAATTATTCTCAAGCATTGAACAATGTTCAGAACAGGACTGATTCTTGAAAGAAGAGAAATACATGTTGTGAATGCCACAATTCTCTCATCTTTTACTGGTTTATTTTTCTACTCAAATTCAGGGATATGGAGACCCATGTTGAACAGTAGTAGTCTTGCTGAACTGAGGAGGCAGGGAACTAAATACAAGTCTTCCCACAAAGCTACCATTTAGAAGGAATRTTCCCAAAGAAGAAGTAGCAGCATGAAAGGGTTGATGAGCATAATCTGCATAAGGATTTACTGCACGTTCTTAACCAAAATTGAGACAAGCATGTGAGGAATGAGATTCCATGTAGCAGAGATTGTTTGCTACATAACTAAATGCTAAATGGAAATACTAGATGAATGCAGGACTGAGAGATGTTATATTATTAGAGTAAAGAGACCCTACTGAGCACCACAGGCATTTMGTAAAGACTCAAAAAATCATGCTTTACAAATAAGAACCATGAGCTACAGAAAGATTAAACCTTAGAATTAAGCTCAAAGCCAAAATAGACATGCACTAAAAAAAAATTAAATCCAAGCTAGTTAAAAACAAGAGTATCTGCCACTTGATTTTCTAACAGAAAATAAAAATCTTGCATGTTTTTAAGGAAATTTTATAATCCAGATTCCCTATAAGAATTCATCCAAAATATTCAGCATAAAATTTAAATTTATTATTTGTTCAAAGAAGTAGAAAAATGAGACTGATAATTAAGAAAATAATAGAAATAGATCTCAAGGTGACACCGAAGTTGGACTTGGTAACAAGACTTCAACAAAATTATGAAAATATGTTTAAACACCTTAGAATAGAAATGGTCACAATTAGTTAAAAAATGAATCTCAACAGAAAAATGGAAACTATAGACAATAACAAAAAAAGAGATCTAGTATATGATAATAAAATGTTTAAAAGAAATACTTATTAGTTGACCATAACATCAGGTTGGAAATTGCTTAAGAATCGTTATGAACATTGAGACAAATCAATAGAAATCACCCAAAATGAAGAACAGAGAGAGAAAAAGAGATTTTAAAAAATTAGCCAATGCATCAGTGACCTGTTCTCAGGTATATTAAAA